AATATCGTAGTGATTGAATGATGTGTCCTCGTGGCCGCGGTGAGCATGTGCGCGCGCTGCCTAAGACAGCTCTTACAGAATCTAAGCGTTGTTCTGCATACAGCTGTGCTGATATTCATTCGACAGGCGTGCCTCTGGGAAGCAGTGAGAACGCATGCAGTGGTGTCCAAGTTGACGCTTCCTCCTCACCTTTCTCAGACAGGGCACCTCGGTGCAAAAGTGAGCGCAACAAGGGGCGTAGCCAGGGTGAGGGTTCGGGCGTTAGAACACGAGAGCAAGCTTCGTACATCGGATTCTGCCTCATGAAGTGGCCGAGACGCCTTCGGGAGCGTCTCTGAAGCAGCGTGTCTGTTGTGTGCTATGTACGCGTGTGTGTGTGTGTGTGGTGGGTGTGTTGTGTGTGTTGTGTGTGCGCGTGAGTGCGTGCGTGCGTGCGTGCGTGCGTGCGTGCGTGTGTATGTGGATGTGTGTGTTTGTGTATGTGTGTGTTTGTGTGTGTGTTGTGTGTTGTGTGTGTTTGTGTGTATGTGTGCGGTGTGGGTGTGTGGGTGTGTGTTTGTGTGTATGTGTGTTTGTGTGTTTGTGCGTGTTGTATGTATGTTTGTGTCTTCTGCTTGTGTCTGTGTTTGTGTGTTTGTGTTTGTGTGTGGTGTGTGTATGTTTGCGTTTGTGTGTGCTTCTCGGCTCCTGCTTACGCTGGGCTCTGCTTTCCCCCGGGGCGCCGCCTCGTGCCCCGGCCTTCCCCCTCTGCGGGCCCCTCGCCCTTGAGGCGGCCCCGACTGGCCGTCCCCGGCTTGCCTCGCAGGTCACTCGTGACCTCGGCACCCTGGGCACATCTGTTTCTCGCGTTCACTTTCGCCTCCAGCCTGCGCTGGGCACTGCTACCCCCTGGACGCCAGCCTCCGGTTGCCGCCCGGCTGGCCTACCCCCCAGCTGCCGCTGCGCCGCCGCTGGGCCCCTCCCCCGGCGCCAACCCGGGCCGCCGCCTGGCCCCGCTGTGAACGGGCCCGGCCCCTCCTCCCTCCAGCCGTCGCCGGACGTTCTTCCGCTTCCCCCCGTGCACTGCGGCTGAATTCGCAATCGTTCGTCCAACATTTGTTCTTCCGCCAGCGCAGTCACTCTGCCTTGACGCCGACGCTAAAAATGTGTGTTGTGTGTGCGTATGTGTGTGTGGTGTGTGTGTGGTGCGTGTGGTGTGTGAATGTACGTGTGAGTGTGAGTGTGCGTGTGCGTGCGCGTGCGCATGCGTGTGCGTGTGCGTGTGCGTGTGTGCGTGTGTGCGTGTGTGCGTGCGTGCGTGTGTGCGTGTGTGCGTGTGTGCGTGTGTGCGTGTGTGCGTGTGTGTGTGTGCGTGTGTGTGTGTGCGTGTGTGCGTGTGTGCGTGTGTGCGTGTGTGCGTGTGTGCGTGTGTGCGTGTGTGCGTGTGTGAGTGTGTTCGTGTGTGCGTGTGTGCGTGTGTGCGTGTGTGCGTGTGTGCGTGTGTGCGTGTGTGCGTGTGTGCGTGTGTGCGTGTGTGCGTGTGTGCGTGTGTGCGTGTGTGCGTGTGTGCGTGTGTGCGTGTGTGGGTGTGTGCGTGTGTGCGTGTGTGCGTGTGTGCGTGTGTGCGTGTGTGCGTGTGTGCGTGTGTGCGTGTGTGCGTGTGTGCGTGTGTGCGTGTGTGCGTGTGTGCGTGTGTGCGTGTGTGCGTGTGTGCGTGTGTGAGTGTGTGAGTGTGTGAGTGTGTGAGTGTGTGAGTGTGTGAGTGTGTGAGTGTGTGAGTGTGTGAGTGTGTGAGTGTGTGCGTGTGTGAGTGTGTGTTGATGTGTTTTGTGGTTTTGTGTATGTGTGTTTTTGGGTGTGCGTGCGTGAGTGGGTGAGTGG